CCTCAAAATTCCAACTTTATTTTCTTGTAATGTCAGTTTGAGTCACTTTGGATAAAAACATTAGACAAATGAGTACATTTAATGTTAAGTGCTGCTGGTTCCAACTTGTATTTTGAATGGCAACAATTTTTGTTTCAATCTCAATTTGTTTTGAGTGGCCCCAAAAACTCTACGGTTACATTTTTCAATGTCTAAACACTCTCACTTTTTTCTTCCTTCTTTCTCCTCCTCTTCCTCTCTTGTTACTAACCGATCTGCTGTCGGGGACGCTCTGATCTCAGCTCAGTTGGGCCCAAAAGCCGCCCGACCCTGAGCTCCTCCTCAGACACAGATACTCGTGTTTCTGAAAGAGCGGCGAACAGCAGGCATTAGCCGCCACCAGGCTTTTTCAGAAACACTGGACTCCATGTTCATCCTCAGAGACACAGACTAACACACACACATAGGCTTCCCATCTTTTTCACTCCTTTGTTTCTCATTTGCCCAGATGTTTGTCTTCTGCTAACCATCAGCCACAAAGCAACTGAAACCCTCCGACAGGTAGATTTACCTGTGGGGACTTTTCATGGGAATTTATTAATGTTCTTTTATTCTCAGCAGGAGCTATGTTAAACATTACATCTGTGGATTAGCTGAGTGATCAAATGTGTTAGACAAGGATGTTGTTTGGCTGAAAAATGTATCCGCTCATACATCACTGCAAAATATATGACTCAGGGAAGTGCTGTCCATATGCATTTGGCCATTTTGTACAAACAGTACCATAGTGATAGAGCAGTTGTGTATTTTCTATTGTATAAGTAAGTGCTTAAAGGTACATTATTATTAACCACAGTATGATAGTGTATGTACTTTTTTTTTATTTTGTTGGTATTGTTCCTGTTTGCACTCTTATAATTATACTGCTGTGGCTGGTGATTGGCCTGGCCTGGTTGTGGCCTCATTGACCACTAGGGGTCTCTGTGGTCACACTTGTCAGACTCATGCAGGGAATCCCATGCTTCTAAATATCTTCTGAAAAACATTGTGCCATAAGACTCATTCATGCCTTGACACCCCTAAAGATTAAAAAACTTTATTTTATTCTAACTGACCAAATTCAACACAGTTATATTGATGAGTGTGTGAGGAAGTCATGGGTTCATGAGGACATCTTTATGAGTTTTACGAAGCCTTCCTCTCCTAAAGGAGTTACATACTGTGTTTACCTTCAACCTGTTGGCTCTCACACCCAGTCCTGTACAGAGGTAAGGATGAAGGCATTGAAGCATTGATTAGGATTAGGGTTTTGAATTCAACTAAAACTCAACTGCGGCCGTATACAGGGTTTTGTGTGAGAGGTCAAAGGTTAAAGGGTCAGGTGGTCTGGCTCAGAGTTCACTGCGTCCACCAGCTGAATCATTCTGTCCCAATGGAAGAAAAAAAAACTTTCCAGGGCCAGAAGCTTCATTGATATGAGCTTTTTATTTCAGAATATTAAACTGGTGCCTCAGAAAAGTTAGTCCTTTAAAGATCCCCTCCAGATGTTTTATGACAGTTAAACTAATCTGCTTTGATTCATTTGATTCGAATTTTCTTCTTCAATTTACTGGTCAAAAATTCCAAAAGCATTCCAACATGAACGTCGAGAGGCTACGACCATGTTATGCAAAATCTTGGCGGACACGGGATGCCTCCTGCTTCACTGGAGAATTTCAAGTTTCCAAAACATGTAACTGTGATGTCACAAAGTCCTGGTGATTCCAATAAAACTGTTGAAGGGCGTCTGAGCCGAGGTGTGACGGTTCATGTCTGTGTTACATTGTTAGATTTTCTTATTTTATTTTGGGAACAGACCAAAGATTTCTGTATGACAAATATACATCTGGTTGTCATCATTTACATGACATTGATTGATTTGTAGGCAGGGATGTGTCTCTTGTTGGCGTGCTGTGAATTTGTATTCACTCACCTTTTTTAAATTAAGTGCATTGCTGATGAACCAGTTCCTTTTGTTAATTTTATTGCCACTGTAATATCATTATGGTTTTACTACCAGTAATGAACGTCCTCGTCGTTTAAACATTGTATCGTCTGAGGCAAAGTCAGCAAGCAAAATGTTCACACAGAGTAAACTGAGTAGTCCGACAGTCCGGACCAGACAACGTAGGTGTGAAAGCGAGCTGTGACTTCAGGTGAACACAGGGAAACTGTCCACCTTCAGCAGATGAATGTGAAAACGACCTGATGGCCTCATATGTTATTCTGCAAAGTGAAGCTCAAACATCCAGTGAAGGAAAAGTAGCGATATTTATTTAATGGAGGGGAGACTTTAAACGAATAAAACAAAAGGTATGAAAATAGCCAACAATGTACTCACTTGACAAATTTGGATCTAAACTTCTGCCATTGAGCCGTGCAGTGTAACGTCTGTGTTCAGTGACAAACACACGACTCTGGGACTTAGCTGGTGAGACCGTTAACTTTGACCCAAACTACCACGTCTCATCTTCATCACCTCACACTAACTAGTCTCCCCTGTCATCTTCTCTGATCCCCGTACACTGGCTCCTCTCCATCTCCCGTCCCTCTTCCTTTCATCACTCATTTACCTCCATTTCTTTATCCCCCCCTGCCTCCCCTTCCCCCCCTCCATGTCCCGTCCTCCAGGTGGCGGTGTCTGCCGACTCTCAGGAGGCCCTGTGCTCGGGTGGAGGGGAGAGCAATGAAGGACTTGTGAATGTGGCCTCTGTGGGCCTCTCTACGTCTCCCTCCTCCTCCCCCTCCCCCACCTGTCCCTCCCCCTGCTCCCATCACCCGCAGCAGCAGCAGCAGCAGCCGGCTCTCTGTCTGGTACCTGCCATGTCAAGCGCCTCCCCGAAAGCCCAAATCTCCGGCAGCGTGCACACCCAGCACCATGACCAGCACTGCTACCCCTCCCACTCCCCTTCCTCCTCTTCCTCCTGCTCCCCTCCTCCACTTCTACCAGTCAGACCGCACCAACAGGAGGCCTCAGTGGATCAGGAAGTGTCCCTCATCACCTGCGCTGCGTTGGCTGGCAGGGATGATGTAATGGCGGAGGACAGCAGCGATGGTAATGAGGGTACCAGCTCCTACGCAGGCTGCCAGGAGAGTCCAAGTCTGTATTTGAGGCAGCTGAAAAGGTTCCACAGCGCTGACACGCAGGGCCACAGCAGCTTCCTCCCCCGCCCCCGCCCTTCCTCCTGGCTTGACGACCCTCGCCGCCACTCTGTAGAGGTCTGCTCCTCGGTGGAGTCCAGTCCCCAGCGCAGCACCACCTCCACCTCCTCCGGCTTTGTGTCGCGGGCCAACAGCCTGCAGATCCACAGCCAGACCGCCACTCAGACCTCGCAACCCTCACCTCGACGCAAGAAGAAGATGAGCCCGCCCTGCATCTCCGTAGACCCCCCTGACGGACTGGAAACTCAGTCTGGCCTCTACCCGGGCCTGGGTGGGCTCGGGGGGTTAGGGATGCCCCCTCCTCTGCCCAGCCGGGACACCTGTCTGAGGAGGAGAGCGCCCTCCAGTGACTCCAAGGACTCCTTTGACCTGGGTGTTGGCGAGGGTTCGGGACAGGATGGAGGCTCGCCAAAACCCAGCCCCAACCCCAAGCTATTGACTCTTCCCAGTTTCTCCTTCGAGAAGACGAGCTCTGAGCACTGAACAGTCCAACACACGCAGACACACACACAACCATAGCTGGAGGAACCCTCCACACACACAAACACACGATGCACTGTGTGTCTGTGATGGTGATAGTTCTAGTAATAATGCTGTAGAGAGTAATAATGGTGAAACTACAACAAACAGTAAAAACATCCTTGGTTACATAAGGAGTACAGTACTGTAGTAGTGTGACCATCCCTTGTCTTTGTATTGTTACTGCCAAAACAAACCAGAGAAGAAGAGAACACATGAAACGACAAACTTGACTTCTTCTCTCTTCTGCTACGCCTGCATGCCACTGGCTGCAGCTCGACCCCGTAACCTCTGGAGCGACATCAGCGCCTGGGATTTGGCGTCCTCTTGTGGTCACCATCTGGACTGCCTGGTGTTGCACAGGGTGGACTTCGGTCAGTGGAGGTACAAAGCAATATGAACGTTTTAGAGACACTATTTTCTTAAATTATTGGGCCATAGTGTTTGTACAGGATGTTGTTTTGTTTGTTTTTTTCATTTCGATTGTTATTTTAATGTTTTGTGATTTTCTTTTTTGTCAAAAATGGTTTGTCTGACTTTTTTTTCACTGTAGGATATTTCTAGCTTTCTTGGTTTACTGAGGAAAGTGAACGTTTTTCAAAGTGCTGAAAACCATGTATTTGTAGGAATAATATATAAATATATATATAAAAAAGGAGTCATTAAACTGAGCTTGGATTTTTAAGCACACGCATTAGAATGGGTGGTTTGATTGTGAAAAGACAAAGGAGGATACTGTGTTCCAGAGCGCTTTAAAGTCTCACCTGCACATTCAGCCTTTCATGTTCAAGTGTGTGAGAGAACAACCAGGCTGCAGCAGAGTCACATCGCTGCGGACGTCAGAGATCGATGTCCACTCCTCACACTTCATCTCAGATTGAACGAAGGACTGTCACAGACCCGACAGACACGCAACACCTAGGTTACACACATAAACACACAAACATTCTGACTCACCAGACCCACCTGATCTGTCCACTGGGTAAGCAACACGTTATTTCTTTTTATTGTGCAGACATTAACATGACCACTGATGTGAGGGTACAATGAGAACACTTCGATAGAATCTTTCCTGCAAACAGTCTGCTCACCGTGATCACAGCTCCCTGTAAACATGGTGTGTGGCGGCACCTCCCCTAAAATCTCCACTTAGTGGAGATTAATGAGGCTATAAAGACTTATTGTTTTACAATGTTGGTGCCTTTTGTCAGCTGTTATCAGAGCAGAGAGTCAAAGAGCTTCATCTGTGGATGAAATCAGTGTCTGAAAAGAGAAATAATCTAGTGATGGTAACATATCCCTCCATTTGGAGCACAGCAAAGGTTATTCATTTTTCCTTTTGGATTCTCTGCAGCTGGATAATTGCATTGACGTATGGCAGTGAGACTGAGACAACACTCGCTGCACTCAGAGATCCCGCTCCAGCGCTGTGACACCTAGTACCAGGAGATAAATGTGGTCACAGCCGAAAATATCTCCTCTGCTTTTAGCTGGGACAAACAAACTGTACAGACACGCAGGAAAACTATTGGACTCAAACCTAAACAGAACAGACTGTAGGACTCTAACATCACTGTACGACATATAAAGATGGACGACACGTCTCCAGCTCTGACTACCATCCAGGAACAAAACCAAAATATCCCACTTTCACGAACGTTATGTCTCAGCAACGCCAGGAGAAAGTGTCTTGGTGCATTTTACACACAAGGATAAACTAATGAAATTTTGTGTTGGAAGGTCACAGTGATTTGCACTTTTTTGCCCTTTTGAACTTTATCTCAAGATTGGTTTCAGGATATGTGTTCTTATGTATCACAAATGTTTCTACAGACTCAAAGACCAGCTCGTTACATGTTGACAGTCAAAAGTCAACACCTCCCGTTTCTCTGAAGAACACCTGGAATTCATTTCATTCATTTAGACTCAAGGATGAACTGATGAAATGATTGGGTCTCAGATCAAAGTGTGACCTCACAACTCACTCATTGAAATATCTAAAAACAACCAGACCTCTGTTATATATTTTGTTCATTTGTGCAGTTACATCATCCAAAATGTTACCAGAGAAATGTATTCAGGCTCACAGGATTTTCTTTGTCATCACCTGCGGAATTATGAATGAAACGTTAGTACATTTCCTCATCAACATTATTCACACCTGGGTCAGGTCAAGTAGATTTTTATCGGCAATGGAGGGGAAGAAAAGTCCCATGATCCCACACTACTTCATGATGTCATCAGACCCCTAGTGGCAGAAGTTACTTATATTCACATTGTATATTTAACTATATGAGTCTGGACAGATAGGGGTGTAAACATCGTGACTGGTTAGAGGCGGCGTACAAACTGTGAGGCGGTAATGTGCATCTCTTTGTTTTAGGGCCTTGTCCTGCGTCTCTACAGATCTTGCCTGAGCAGATCTTTGACAACATGTTTGATTAGCATCATGTTGAGGTCATCATTCTTAAATATTCTTAAACATTAAAGCGTCTTGTACAGAATGGATTAAGAAATTATGCTGATTTTTATTCGAGCTCTATTACTAGTGATGAGAGAAAAAATCTACAATCTGTTTGTATTTGATTTTTAAGAGACAGGTCCTTGTAGGGAAAATTAGTGATTTGCAGCCAGAAATTGTGAGCATGTTTATTCAGCCTTTTTTTAAAAATCATGATAGACTGATGCACATTTTGTACTAGTTTGGTATTTCTCTACAGATATTTCTCTTTTTTATCTTGACTTCAGCTGGTTCCAAGTTGATTTGTCAAAATACAAACATTAAACATGATGATGGGTGAGGGGCAATTCTGTACAAACTCTCAAGCAGTCATCAAATGTTTCAGTCTGGACCAAGTTTCTGGATCCATAGAAAAAAGACTATCAAAGAAGTAGATAGAGTTTCCCTGGATGGAAAAAAAAAAAGTTTCAGAAAATAAGTTTGTGAAAGTAGTTTGAGACTCATCCATACAAAATCAGTTTAGAATTAAAATTCCTTGACTAAGCCCCTGAAGTAATGACTGATGTATGAAGACGTGTGCTAACAGAAATCACAGATAATTACTGATGACACAGCTTCTATTTATATATTTAATCCCGGCTCCAACGTGTGAAAATTTAATAGCGCTGTTGAACTTCTTCTTTTCTGTGCATATTAATGAGCAGAGTTCAGATGTGAGCAGCTGCTGGACACAGACAGCTCACGCCATCATGAACTGTGTCTGGAGAAAACCACCAGAGAATTTGCAGTACAGAAGCATGTGTTCATTTTTTATTTTGCAGCAACAGTGTGTGAAAGTGTGTTTTTAGTGCGGCTGGCCATGAATGATGATGCTCTGATGTGGTGAGAGGGAGAGAGCAAGATTTTCATGATGTTTTTTTAATCCCACATCCCCAGTATGCACGTAGAAGAAGAAATTTGGCTCAATAAGATTCAGTTATATAATCTCCCAAACAGATTTGAAGATTTTACTCACATTCTAAAAGTTCCCTTTGCCAAGGAGATTCATTTCACCCCAGTCTGTTTGTTTTAAGCAAGATTACACCTAAACAATTTGAAGCATACGAACCCTGGTGAAGGATGCATTATGGGTCAGGAAGTTACCCTTTAAATTTGGGTGTGGACGGACTCACTCTCTTTGACATTGCAAGATTTTTCAACATTTTCTCTGATTTCCCGTTTAATAATTCCTGGATTTTGAAAGAAAAATCGAACCCATTTAGGGAACTGATATCTATGACTCCATGAGCCATGATGCGCTGATTTAAAACATTTAGAAAAGTGTGATCAGCAAGTCTGCTAACACGTAACCAGTTTCAGGTAACAATAGCTACGATTACATGGACAGCAATGTTTGACGTTATTTTGATTCTTATGTTTACATGAGTAACAAGGATGAATAAGTAGTTGTTAAACAATAATAGAAACAGACAAAGCATTTTGCACACACATAAAAAAAAGTACTTGAAACTTTACATCCAGTTTCTTCTTTTTTAATATCTGAATATGGTTGTGAGGTGAGGTAGACTGGCATTTCCAGCCTCACACGTTTCCTGGAATCAACTCAGCGTGAGCCTGACACAATAAATCCACTTCAAACAAAGCTTCATTCACTCTCACTGATCTTCTTCCTTTCTATCTCCTCTTATATCCCCCCACTGAGTTTTCTCTCACCTGTATCTTGATCTGTTAGTCTTCTCATTTTTAATGTGTTGTGGCTGACACCAGGGAGCTGGAGCATTCGGAGCTGCTGCTGGGTCGAACTTGTTTTTATGAATCGAGCGTCCCTGTCTGACATCAAGTTTCTGACGTCAAACTTACACACACACACACACTCACAGAGCTCTCCATGAGCCAATAAACCAAATGCAGACGGCTCATTGCCTCTAAATACCCGTCTCTCTCCTGGTCAGCAGGATTGTAAATTGGAGACAAAACACAACAATGTTGGGAGAAACAAAAGGCCAGTGGACAAGGTGTCCCTGTTTACCAGAGTTTGTCAGTGTTTGGCAGAGGCCTTGTGGGACGTCAGCCAGTCTAATAGGATGATCAGAGGAGGGACTACGCCAGAACACCAAAACAAGAGAGAGCAAATATTTGGCTTCTCCTCTCAACGCCAGGCTGGACCCTGAAGTAGAGTTTTTGCATTCTACATTAGATTATGATATAGCATCATTTTATACACAAGTCAAAAATGGGACAAAACATGAAGTTAAGGGTTTTATATGCAGGTGTTCAAATATTGGTAAATCAGTCAGACACAATGTTTTCTGTATTTTCTAAGTGGAGTGTGTTGTGACCTGAGCTTCTCTGTTCAATGTGTTGGTAGCTGGTCCAAGTGTGTGAGTCTGCACGGTGGTAACTGTTGTGGAGCCGTGATATCGAGCAGTCGTGATTTAGTCTCAGCTGTCAATCGAGATGTTTCATCAAATTTGTATAGCCTCAAATAAAAAATTCAAACTCGCAGGAAGAAGAGCAGTGGAATCGGCGTGAGGAGAACTAACTAAAATAACAGAAAACACCTTTGAGAAAAAACGAAATCTATTCCACTTTCCACAGAAACCAAGAAACAAAAAAATTTGACCTTGCAGTTGTTCCAACATTACGCCTGAAACTCACAGGGAGGAGGATTAATGTTAAACTCTCACGATCCAGAGAGAGAATAGCTGTATCTCCTCATATTATTATCTGGGATGGAAGCCCCTGCTGTGAAATCAGAGCATGCAGTGAACAATTCTCTGAACAATTACCACAGTGCATTTTTTAAATTTGTCTTAAATAAGGATTAAAGTGACTTTGATGGTCACATAGCAGGCTTTGAAGACAACTGAGTATTTGTGATGAAACGGGACCCACCATACAGCTGCTCCCACGCTGACATTGGCGCCACCTTCAATCGCTCCATGAAATACTAACTTCTCTCACTGTGTTCCCTCAGCATCCAGTCAGCCTCTAGTTATATTCTGTCCATCGATTATAAAAAGAACCCCAAGTCCATTTAAAACCTTTAAACCAGAGGCTGCACTTTGAATTTTTCATCTGAAATCACGCAGTGTTGAAAATTGATGTCAGACTGCCTCAGTATTGTGCAGTATTAGGACACAGGCAAAGTGGATGTGTAAACCTGAGTCTGATTGGATGGCACTTTTGAAACAGGGAATTATGGGATGCTGTAGATTGTTAACTTTGTGCTCTGTGGGGACCGGTGTGCATTCGTCACACTGATGCATGATGGTATGGCTCGGTCCAGTCACAGAGGTGAGCTGCAGCGCTGAATGAGAATCAGAGCGTACAGACAGATGCTGGGGGGGAGGTTTGGATGATGAAATGCTGTGTTTAAACTGAACAGTTCAAAAAAAAGACTGAGCTGTGAAATGTTGTGTAAAGTTTCAAAATGTCCTCTGGTTGTCAGAGGGTGGAGATATTTGTCCCAGTTAAAGATTCAGTGGGAAAAACAGTGAGTGGTGAAAGAGCTCAGGTCACCTGCTGCCAAACTGTGGACTGTTGTTGATATAGTTTTGGTGTGGCTCGTTTGTGAAGCGTTTTTTCTTCTAGAGACAGAGAGAGTCTTTGTGATATTCACCAGATCAAATGACTGATGAAGGGCTGCCTCTGCTTCTCTCTGGCAAAGTTACAACAGTTTGTTTCATGGACGTTCTGCATCGAAACGAGGATGATGGTTAATGTAATTAAAGAGAGTTTGCATAAAAAGGCTGTGGCAGTTTAAACAGATGAGATATATCAAAGTGTTGGACTGAGAAGGTCAGTGAATGTGATATATTGATGCAATCATTTATAATGGAGAGAGAAGTTTGAACGCATTACCACAAAACTAGATGGACAGATGGGACACGGGCAGAGAAACAACCCAGTACGTGTTAGTGCAGATCTGGACAAAGGTGCTCATCCAGGAATTTCTTTAACATTTAACTTTTGTATACATTTTTCTTGTGAATAATACAAGAATTTTGGTCAAATAAATCACATGTATTAAAGTACGTTAACACAACACTCTCCCTGTTATACTTTTGCTTCATCAGCACAGAGATACTGACTTTAACATAAACATAGCTGCTACAGCCACACCACAGTAAAAGAGGTAATAAACAGTTTTGGCGCTGGCTAGTTTCCTCCAGGAGCAAACGTTTCAGGATGTACATGCTTCTTTTCCATGATAAACAAGTTGTGGATTATTTTCCATAGAATCCTTCCACATCTTTACCTAAAGTCTCGGTAATCTTCCTCCAGGAGCAATCTGAGAATCTCTCTGCTCCTTTATTACCGAGGGGTCGTAGAGACGTGTGTGGAGACCGTGCACACGTAGATAACAAAGTTGGGAGGTGTGCGACCGGCTAAAACAACACTGGGCTCCAACAGGAATGACGTGATTTCTGGCGTGCAGCCATGTGCAAGGACAGGAACGATGAGCACAAAGTTTAGAGAGCTGATATCTATAACTTTGTGCAATTTAGTGCAGCTTGATTGAATTTCTCAGGACTGTTGGGCCTTGGCAGAGTAATAGGTGTTCTTCTGAGGGCCATTCAAGTTCCAACCCTCCCGTCCCGCGCTGGCTCGTCCTTCAGAGGACAGGAGAGGATTAGCGGCCATGTTCAAGCTGGACAGTTATCTCAGCTGAGACGAGGTGAGCAGTGCAGCAGAGTGGCACGGACACTCTTGAAACGAGAAACCGAGCCAAGTGTCGCACACCAAACACCTCTGTAATTATAATAAAGTCAGGTACGTTCGCCTCCAGCTGCCAAAACTCTGAGAGTTACTTTCTCACTGAGTTCGTCTGTGGGTCTGCGTCTCAGTCTCTCTTTCAGCACATTGAATCTGACAGGGCGCTGAAATTCTTGCTGCTTTTGTGGCCACTTCTGGTTTACGTGTTGGTTTATTCTCCTTCCATTTTCCCTCAGCTTTTTGAGAAATCACACTTAAATGATTCCGTTTTGTGCAAATAAACTGAAAGAGAGGTCCTGATAGTGTCTGCACTCAGTTTATACATACTAAAAGTAAATATTCAGACTTTGAGATGTGTTTTCTCCAGTTTTTTTTTTTCACACGAGCAGAACAAGCAGCCAAACGTTCAGTTTAGTCAGATAAGCAAAGATTAGCTCTTTAATGTGTGATGCCCACTGTAGGCCATCAGTCAGCCTCTGGTCACTGACAGAGTGCACATCCTGCTGAGGGACAACTGGGGACACATCTGACCGCACAGGCTCATCCCTGGAGCGCAGTTAAAGCATCACACAATTAACTTGAGTTAGTTTCTGGCTGTTCCCTCAAGAAGAGAAACATTAATTGAAACCATCTTAACGTCTTAATTTTAATTATACGGAGTTAGTCAGAGTTCAGCAGAATCAACTTTGTAAATGTCAGAGGACTTCAGAGGCCGCACAGGGTTACTCAGTGTGTGTAGTACAATGTGTGCTATTATGATATGAATTAACATTAATCAGTGTCTGATTGCATCTAAATAGTAAAAGAGGCTGCCTTCATTTCCATAACAGTTTTTTCAGGTGATAAAAACATCTTGATTAATGATTACTCTACCGCCCCAAGTGGTCAAAAATAAGAATTACTGTTGCTTTAAATAATCCACCAATTTGGTTCAAAAAAAGGAAATTTACACACTTTAAACTACGGACCAAGATTCTTAACCAAGGCTCATGTCTTTGTCAAATTGATAATGTTTAATCTGGTTAGTTTTATATTGTAGGTGACGGAGTAAAGATTTTTGTATTACGTACGCACGTCCTGTCATCCCCTACGTTGGTGGTGCATTTGAAAAGTGCACAGAAAAAATAGTATTCTTCAGTTTGAATGAAGACAATAAATGAAGTTTGATCATTGCATCAAATGTCATTTAGAATGCTTTCATCCAAAGCAGCTTACAATTTCCCTTTCACAGCTGTTATTTGGTTCAGAATAAGCTGAAAAGTAAGAACCTCTGGACCAAATGACTTAAGATGTGAGGCCCCATAAGAAATACTTTTGCAGCCTCTTCTTTTTTTCAGGGATAGCTCTTGTAGTCAGCTCCTCGTCACAGCAGTTAAAACAGATTTGCACAGATTTCCATAATTCACACAAAGCTATAAAAATATCCATTGTAAGTTTTCCAGGCGCTGCTGTATAATCCACTTTAAGTGTATGCTGAACAGTGTCCTTTTGAAGTTGCTATATATACTTTATAATGCACTTGTGCTGTTTCTCTCAAAATTGAGACTTTTGGAAAAATGCTGGTGACATTGTTTGAGTTTAAAACTCTGGGGTTGTATTTAAGTCTGGGAGTGCAGAGACTATAAAAACTCAAATTCATTTCCTGATTGTGTTATTAGCCACATTATGACTTTGCAGCAGAAAGGAGAAAGATCATTCATTGAATAATCCTTTCCACCTGGACAGGAGAAGGAAGGAAGGAAGACAGGAAAGAGGGGGGAAGGGAGATTACAAATCAGGCTCACCTGCAAGCTGGAGGAGTGAGAGAAAACGGAACATGCTCATGGAGGACAGACAGACAGAGGAGTGAGAACAGCAGAGCAGTTCAATCTAGTTTAGGGACATATTTCCTAACACAACAAGACTAGACTAACAAAAGTAAGCAGAACTAAACCTCTTCACATGCCTACACTGGGAGATGCTGATCTCAGAAGTGGGTAGAGATCCACCACTTCCTCTGGACCTGCTTGGAACTGAAGGATCCTGTGTCTGCAGTGAAAGCTCCAGAGATTTGAGAGGTAAGTCTCCAACTTAAAACTCTCCAGGCTGCGTCTATCCTCCTGCCTCACACACATGTATGTGTGCATTATGCTGTTTTCAGTGTGTTAGTGTGAACAGACTTTGTTTTGAAATGAAAATCTTTACAACATAGGACAAGATGGTGAATACCCCTTGTATGATTGAAGTTCTTCTATATTAGCTTGATGTTGAGTTGCCCACCTCCAGCAGATCTCAGGGATATTAACAACCACCGACGTATCTTCAGTTGTGTACCTTAGTTTCAACGGGTGTTTCTGCCTTATATTCACAAAACACTCTCTTCTAAGGCAGACCCACCACAGGCTGGTTGTGCGTCCCTGACATCTCGGGGCCCAGTTGGGGTCTTTCCTCCTGATTCAGAGTGAGTGGCAGCAGCCTTCTGCAGTCCCTGATGTTTCTTTGCATGGAACATTTTAAAAAGTGGGAGCACAGAAATGTATGGCCCTGCTCACAAAACCTTTAAAGCTTAACCTCTGACTTGTTAAATAAATACATTAGAGCAGATAAGGAGAGAACATGATTAAATGAGTGTAGCAGTCACCACTTTTCCAGGCTCTGGGTCTCACTGGATGATTTGAATGTATGAATGATGAGAATCATGTGATGTGATCTTGGCAAAAACCAGATCTCAGCCCAGCTGCAAACATGTCAGAGATTGGCCCACTTCATTATCATCAAATCACCTTATACGGGCATGGAGCTCTGTCTAATTCACCAAACACCTCTCTAAGACAAGTTGTTCTTTTTTTCTTGTATCTGTTTACTTTTCCTGCTCAGCAATACTCCTCACCACCCAAGCAGCCCCTCATCATAATATTTGGTCATGTGTATCTGACACTCTACACTGAGGTTCAGCTCCAACCAATAAAAATGCAGATCATATTTCCTTTCAGCTCCGTTCAGGACTATATGATATATATATGAAAAGCTCATTTTTAAAGGTTGTGGGCAAATTAGCCAGATGTACATTTTCCAAACGGTTTGTCCTTTTCTCTCCTGTTAAACCGAAAAATTAGTTAGAAAATTCTGATAATGAAAAGATGTCAGTATTGTTGGGCTTGTTCGTGTTTGCTGTCAATATAACATAAGCTTTTGGATTTCATCTGTTAATGAGTTCCTGCCTCAAGCTTAAAACTGCAGTAAGATCATTTTATCACGATTGAATTTCGCTCAGCAGTGTATCACTCCTAATGGGAACAGTGATGTCGGGCCATGCACTGAAGAACTTCCCTGTGTGGGTGTGGTAGTACAGATTGACCCTGTCATCGCTCTGCTCTTGTTCAGTGTCATTAATGACCCACATGTATGATGAACCGTCCTTTAGACACAGCGCCTCTTCTAGCTGGACTGAAGAGTGACTACAGAAACATGTTTCCACATTTTTATAGAAGTGTTGATTCTGGGAGGTTAACAATGATTAATGACATGAAGATTGTCCTCTTAAAAGGATAGCTCACCCAAAATTTTAAATGTACTCATGATGTACTCATCACTATGCCGATGGACGAGTGGGTGAAGTGTTTGAGTCCACAAAACATGTTTGGAGTTTCAGGAGTTAACTGTTTTAATTTGATGTAAGCTGATAAAGAGATGTGTATATACACAGAGGTTCATAGGACCTTGGCCTCTGTGTATCAGTTTTTACATCTTTACATGTTGAAGGAGGAGGAGGTTTCATCAAATTTATGAAAAGTCAGTGAAGGAGATATAATTATAGAACCATATATCAGTCCCAGGTTGAGGACATTCACAGTGTTACAGCAGCAGAAGGGGATTAAAAGGAAAATAAAGTAATAAATAAGTACAAGGGTTAAAACAGCAGTAATGCAAACAGGATGACGCATGGACAGATATTGAGATGCACAGTTTAAATGGAACTACACCTTTGTGAATTAATATTGTGGTGCAGTTGTTTGTCAGAATTCTGGTGCTTGTGGTCGACTGAGAGCTGTGTTGTAAATTGTGAAGAGGGTGGATACAGTGTCATTATTCATTTTCTCTGGCCTGTGTAACCCAGCACGCACCGGGCCTGACCTACTGCTCGCTGTGGTGAATGTTAAGTAGCTGAACTTTGCTCATACTCCGTGAAATTTAATTGTTACATGATCCCATGAATTTAATTGTTCCATGGAACCCAAACAGTCTCAAGACAGTGAAATAAAAACAAATCCAGGAGAATGAATTTATTTGTATCTAGATTATCTAACTTTTATTCGTCCAGGGACACCACACTGCAATAAAAAATATGATTTACAAGAGGATAAAAAAGCAATGGCACTAAGATGCTGACCAACATAAAACACACAAGAAACAAACCATGAGGGCAATAACAATATGACAAATTATTTTTCATGCATCATGTTTAAAGGATATAAAATCTGAATTAAAGTAGGCCACAGAACAACATTCACAGACGATTCATTACATGAGACTCCACCATGTCCATACTGCAGTTATTCCAAATCTCATCAAAATGTCCACACAAGTTGAAGTTGGGAGCAAAAACACATTCAAAGTGTGTATCGTTTCAATAAGAACTTAAACACATGATAAACCATTGGGGGGGTAATGAATACACTGCACAGGTGTTGTATGCAGCTATATATGAACTCTACAGTTTCACAATTATAGGCAGGTGTTGTGCAAAGTGCAGCAATTACAAGGCAGCTAGTATTGTAAGCGTGACGTCTTCATCATGCACCTGCACCTCTAACGCTGGGCGGTTTATTGGTTTTCATATGAGCAGTGAATCATCTGACATCCTGTGATGAACATTTTATCTAAATAAGGGGTCTGCGAGTACATTTAGCCAGTTTTTTTTATCACAGCCAGAAGATGACAAGCAAGGACATAATCAAAGACTGTGACCTATATGAGTCACGAAATGCTGCGTTTTATCTTCACTTTCCATATTGTGAATAATACACGTGTATAATTATTTAAGAATGATGCCATTCTTTGATGCACTGGGGGGTTCAGTCAAACAGAATTATTCCTTATCATTAGCGAGTCCACCTCCAACAGTTCTACAATATACTGTTCTATTGTTTGTGTGCAGAGCTTTTTAAACAGTCTATGGTGCAGAGTGGAGTTAGAAAACTGTGTTCACCCTACCTGGTTTATTTGCAATGCAGCCATCATGTGTTCAAGGTCAACCGGATTGCACCGGATGCACCTATTTTATGTCCAATGTTTTTCATAAAGTTAAACTAAATTTACTTTATTACTGTCTGTGTGTGTAGTTTATACACAAGTTTGAATGATTAACTTAACTGCTGTTGTTTTTTCAAACATTGCATGTCGGATGTTTCAGAATAGACACAATTTGACCTTGAGTGATGCTCACCGGTAAAATTGCAGCTGCCTCTCTGTGGCAGCTTCTCCAATTGATTGACTCACTGTTAGACAGGAAGTTCATCTCAGCTGTAACTCCACACAGGATATTCACACTTGTTGAACTGAGGCGACCTCTGTGCACAACAAGTACTGTCAGCTGTCTAACTCAGGCTTTTCAGACAAACCACAGGGAGGGGATTGGTTGGAAGAGACTCTTACACTTCCAGAGGAGAGCTTGTCAGTGATGGAGTTGCTCTGATCCTGCTGCACTTCAGAGAAGTCCCCAGACACCGTATTCCCACTCTACAATCACACAGCACAGGCTCTTTCAAAGAGGAACAGTCCTATTTGTGACCTCACTCTGCTTTGAACTCCAAGCCTATTTTCTGTTTCCTCTCAGGTAAACACACACACAGCGAGGATGGAAATATTGGGTTTGCAAAGGAGAGAGCATCAAAGAGGAGAGACAATCTTTTTAACCTCTCCCAGTGCCCTCTGTTCACACTCTTATTACCAGTCTCCACTCGCAGAGCCATTCAAGCCCCCCGCAGCCAATACGCTCCGACACATCTCATCCACTGTGTGGCGATAGAGCAGATTATGAAGGGCCTCTTGGCTGCTGCAGGGGTAGAGTCCAGACTGTTCCGGTACACTGACCACAGCCTGGGCCCTGTCCGCTGCTGAGTGAATATTAAACTACTTGACGGAGCTTACTCTAAATTCTAAAGAAATAAACGGAAGGTGTGTGTGTGTGTGTGTGTGGATTACTATGGGCGTTGCAGATAAAGGCCTGGTGTCCATTTGGGAAAAGGATTACGGTTTAAGGCAGTGATGAGTGGAACATGGGGAACTAACGTGATAATTAAAATGTGCATCAGAGCAGTTTGTCACGGGGAAAACAAGATGTGGAGATCTAGTTCTGCAGATTTGCTACTGCAGAGTCACTCAGAAATGTATACAGGATGCAGCAACTAGACATCGATGAGAAAACATTCTCATCATCCTGAGCGGCATTTATGTTCAGTGCAGATTTGCCAGCTTGCTGGTTCTCTCTCTGCTTATATTAAATTAGCCTACAGGGATAGAAAAAGCCTGTTTAGACAGAAGGATTGTAACATTCCTCCTAAAGTGTGAATAGCCTCACGATTCTCCTGTCCAAGATTCCATTACGATTGTCCTGTCCACAACTCAATTCTCGATGCAACGCATCTTCAGTTGTCTGTATTATATTTAATTGCACATGGCTGCTTTTCCATCAAGTAATACAATCATTAAGATAAATCTGAACTTCCTTTTTGATTAGAAATAAACCACAGAGGTTGCCCACACATACGACAAATCCTGGACAAACCATCTGTTGATTAAAGAAAGTCATTTTTCTTGCTTTACAATAACTTATAAACAGAAATCAGAAACCAGCCTGTTTGTTTGATTAGCCTTTGGCCTCTCTGCAGTCAGAGAGTAGTGATCCCCTGCTCATTAAACATGACCTCCACCTCATTCAGGTGTGTCTGTTGACGAAACCATTCATTTGTTTGAACCAGTTTTTATTGTAATTGCAGGAGCAGAAGCTGCACAGCTTCATACCAACCCTGGCGTTTAGTTGAGTACACACACTTTTATTCAAGGAAATACAGAAGTT